GGCCCTTGAGGATCGTTGAGGCTGCGTACTTTAAGGCTGCAGACCCTGAATTGGGATATAACCATAGTGGACAAAGACAGTGGCCAACAATATAGTCAACCCAGACCAGGTGTACTGACCGAACATCCTGCAAGTGCAGCCCCCTTATGAAGCAAAAAAGATAGCATTTAATGTAGTGCTGCCATGTTCACACTCCCAAATATAATTGGACTAAGTTTCACAATTATAAATACAAGAATTGATTTTAATACTTGGATGCTTTGCCTACAATCTGGGAATCATGGATGTCACCAACTGCTATATTTCCTCCCTTGATAGTTTGCCTGGCTTTTACTGCAGCCGCAGACTTAATCGAATTTCGTGTCAGCGATTGCTTTTCATACAATAACCCAAACGATGAACCCGCTAACACCAGCTGACTTTGCCAGCTGACTCTGGTCGGGCGCAGCTTGTTAGCCACCATCTTCTCTCTTCTCCTGCTCATTTCTGCTGCTCTGTGGCAGTCAGGGAGGGAGGACTATCAAACCAATGTGTGGCAACACCTAGTGAGATTCACAATGGTAAATGGCACTCAAGTGTTAGCGGCAAGTCATGCTTTACACACTGAAAGGCCAGTTAGAAGCCTCGCTGGGAGTCCATCTGACCTTTGAGAGAAGCATTACCTGCCAAGTGCACTAATGACTGGAGGGATATTATCCAGAGACGGTTCAACACTTTCAACTTCATCTAATGGTGAGTGAAACTTATTTATTCTTACCCCGCGGTTTTATTCTGCTTCTGTTCAGTTCCGCGATTATCCTGCTCACTGTGCATGTGCTACTTTCTGCCTTTCTTCATACGGTTGTTTTTGTAGTTTTGGCCTTGAAACCATCAAGGTTGACCCTTTCTGTCCATCCAAATGGGCCACAATGGGAGCCATGACAACGTGAGTCATGACGACATGAGCCATGTCACCTGAATGAGAGCTGGGTATTATTATTATTATTTTATTATTTTTGGGTTTTTTTGTAAGGCTTAAATCCTTTTTGGTAGTCAAAGGGTAGCTTCGGGTAGAATTTTGACTTGCAAGACTTTCAGTGCAGAACTTTATCACGCTTTTGTGTTGCTACTTTTACTAAAGTATCTGAAAATAAATGAATAAATCTGAATCTATCCGACTCACTGGCATCTTCAGGGGAACTTCCATGTCATAAAGAATGCCGTCCCTTGCACATAATAATGAGTAGGAGGAAAACTGTCTTGGCAGCCTTGGTTTTCACAGAGCGTTACATTTCTCATTGGTGTTTGGGCCTGCACCCTAAGTTCATTGTAAGAAGTACTTAAAGTATAAATCTTCCTCTTTATATTAAAATAAACCCTCACTGTTATGAGGAGCTATGAGGAATAAATCTGCTCCCTTAATGTTAACAGATCCAGGGCAGCCTGAATTAGCCAGGCTGTAGGAAGAAGCAGTAAATTTTGAAACTGTAAA